GTCATCTCTCGGCTCCTCCATAAACACTGCCACTGCCAGCACTGCAAATCAGTGCTGCAGGCCAGCTACCAAATGCACTCCCAAGAGTTTTCATTTACTTTCATAAAAATTCCATGATTAAGAGCCTTTTAAAAACAGGCTGGTTCATTCCATCTTACAAGGAATTAAGTAAGTGCAAAAATATTCTCTCCTTTCTCCTTGGGAGATGTTATCATTGGGCACGATGACTGCAGGATGACGACTGAAAAGGCCACTGTTCATTCAATCACTCTTGACCTGCTAAGATAGACAGAGAGGTCTGTCCTCACCGTGGCCACAGTGGCTTTTCACAGAGCCCAGACTGCTGCCCTCTGTGTCCTTTGGACTGTGGCCAGGGGGCAGGTCCTACCTTGGGGTTATGCCCCTTCAATCAGAAAGGCCTGTTCCTGGGCAGGTTTTGGGGCGTCCAGGCTGTGAGCTGGGCTCAAAGTGAGACTTTGGTGTGTCCCTTCAGATGGACACCCTCTCTGGCTGCTGGGCTGCTGCTACCTGATTACTCTTGCCACGCAGTGGGAGCCCTGAGAAGCTGGACTTCAGTGCCAAGATCCCTGTCAGGCCCCTAGTCCTTGCTGCTGGAAAACCTGTTCCTTTTCAAGTTTATGAGGGCCCGAAAGTGTATGTATGCAATTACCCAAAGAAACAACGTGACCTCTCACTGCAGGGCAAGTTGGTGGGGCCCCTGTGTTTACAACCTTTACTCTGATATAAGACTGGCCACACCAAGTGATAACCAAAGATTTCCAAAGAGCATCCTAGCCTCCTCTTAACATAGGTAGCACCTGACAGGGTGCCTTAAAGTGCAGGAGGTAATTATCCATTTTTTTTTTCTATTGGGGTTAAAAAAAAAGCACATAAAATATCATTTGCCATTGTAACCATGTCTAAGTTTACAGTTCCAGAGTTAAGTACCTTCTCCTTCCTGCACAACCAATACCGCCAGCATCTCCAGAACTTGTTCAACTCATGAAACTGAAGATCTGCATCCTTTAAACAACTCCTCATTTCCCCAGCCCCAGTCAGCCCCGGCACCCACCTTTCTCCTTTCTGTCTCTATGACTCTGACTACTCTAGGTTCCTCACGTAAGTAGAATTAAACAGTATTTGTCTTTCTGTGACTGGCTTGTTTCACTTTGCATAATGACCTCAAGGTTCATTTATGCTGTAGCCTGTGTCAGAATTTCCTTCCTTTTAATAACCCTCCATTGTACCTATAGAGCAGATATGGTTTATCTGTTCACCCACTGACGGACACTTGGCTGCTTCCACCCACAGCTAGTGTGACTAGTGCTTTTGGTAATAATCCATTATTGTGAATAACATGTGCAAATATCGGCCTAAGGGCTTGCTTTCACTTTTTTTGTATATATCCCCAGAAGTAGAACTGGCTGGATCATATGGTAATTGTATTTTTAATTATTTGAGGAACAACAATTGTTTAAAAAAATGTATTGATCAATGTACCATTGGGTGGGACACTTAAACACAGCTATTAGCTCTGCACTGCCAATGGAAGCTTTTGGTGGGGACCAGAGCTCCTCAAGATGTTCAGGACTGACTGTCCCCAAGTGACTTAGGAGGGTCACATAAAATGTGCTTCATGAAGTCACATCTGTTCATTCTAGAAGGTAGTATCTATAATATTTACTCCGAAGTACAAAAGCCAATCAAATTTAGGTAAGTATTTGGATAATATGTATTTAAGTCTGAGATCTAAATTTGTTAGAGAAAAAAATTAAAAGAATGCTGAGTTAAAGAACAGATGTATTTCTTACATTTTCATAAAAATGATGTCTGTACAATGATAAAGATACAAATAATACTCTGTAATTTTGACAATACTAGGTCATTTATGGTAACATAAAGGAGTTATTTTGCAAGGTTTTTGTGTTTTTTTATAAAGCAGGTTAAATTACTACTCCCAAAACAGAGAGCTGCTGTGAAAAATAAATTAAAATAGCATTAAAACAAAGTCCATCTTCTGAACCCATTCAGAAGAAAACATGAAGCTGAATGGCCAAGGTCTCTGATCAGTGTATGAAAAAACTAACACTATCTACTGGAACTTTCAGGAATGGATGCAGAAGAGCAAAGAAGAACTGGAAAATGCTAAAATAAATGAGAGTTTTCCAAGCACCTCCATCAGCTGGGAAACAGGCAACTGTCAAACAGACAACTGTCAAACAGACGCTGACTCTGGCTCTATCTCTGTGATGGTCACTCACAAAGAATATGCCTCAACTGTTATTTATAATTAATATAAGGAGCTTAGGGACCAAAAACGGCACCATGACACATCTCAGAATAGTGGATCTCTGACAAGCAGACTTGCCTCTTCACCTAAGAGCGCATCTCTGTGCCCTTTTTTTTCTGTCGATGCTGTGTCAGTGCCGCAATCACCTCTCATGGGTCACACAGAGATAGACTAAAAGGAAGCTACTTTTATATCACAATAACCTAGGATCGTAAATTTTATAACGCTGATCATATCGAGATCATCAAAACCAATTATATAATAATATGCAATAAAACGATGAGAAATCCCAGTGAGAACTCCTTCCTCTTAGTTCTCACGCCTCTACTAAATAATTTATCGTGTGTCACCTCTCGCTGGGAGACCTGGAGGACAACGATCACACTTGAGTCTCGGTATCTCGAGGGTGCAGCATGCTGCCTGACTGCAGTTAGGTGCCCAATGAATAAGCACCCTCCCCAATGGCAGAGAATATGGGGTGGCCCAGAAAAGTAGGTTGTAGTCAAGTTTTCCCTACATGGAGAAAAAGCTCTAGGAGGTTCCAGCTCCTTTGGAGCAGGATTAAAATATTAATTTTAGACTTTGTTACCTTAAAAAGTGTGCATGTTGTAATTTCCAGTGTAATCATACAAAAAATTAAGAAATATCTAAAGTCCAAACTTGTAAATGGGGAAAATTGAAACAAAAAAATGGAGAATCCCAAAGAATAACAGAAAAAAGGCAAAAAAAGAAAAATTGTAACAGGTAAAGAAAATAATACCAAATATGTGGATAAAATTACAAACATCTCACTAACTACAATAAATGTAAATGCACTATATATTCCATTTTAAGTGACCAAGATTGCCAGATTTAAACACATTTTTAACAACAAACTATTTACAAAAGATGTAAACCAGAGGAGAAAATAATTATCAAAAATAGGCAAAATTCTAACCAAAAGAAACCTGGTCTAACTATATTAGTATCAGTAAAACTAGACTTTATCTTTATTAATGCTTTTCACCTTAAAGAGAGCCCCTTCATAAAAGATAGAAGGTATAAATCGTAGGAAATTATACCAATCTTAAAAGTTCATGCCTTACATAACAGGCATCAATATGTAAAAACAACCAGAATTATAAGGAAAATCTATAACCAGAGCCTCTCTCGGTAACCAATAGAAAAAGACTCAAACCCCCTCTACACTCCTTCCCCCAAGTCAGAAGATAAATTTAAACAATTTCACAAACTTGACCCAAAAGACCCAGAAAGAATACTGTAAGAACATCAGAATACACCTTTCTTTTTTCTTCTTCCAGCATGTATAGGCACGAAAAAACACTGATCCTACCTTGAAGATGAATGCTGGGTGTGGTGGCTCACGCCTGTAATCCCAGCACTTTGGGAGGCTGAGGTGGGTGGATCATGAGGTCAGGAGTTCAAGACCAGCCTGGCCAACATGGTCCCATCTCTGCTAAAAAAAAAATGCAAAAATTAGCTGGGCATAGTGGTGTATGCCTGTAGTCCCAGGAGGCTGGGGCAGAAGAATCTCTTGAGCCCAGGAGGCAGAAGTTGCAATGAGCCGAGATAGAGCCACTGCACTCCAGCCTGGGCGACAAAGCTAGACTCTGTCTCGAAAAAAAAAAAAAGATGAATGCAGCCCAGAAGAGAGCCACAGCTGACTCAAAGCCAACACCTAAGATGAGTGAGAATATGTTGCTATGAGCCACAGATATTTGAGGGTTACTATTATATAATCCAATCAAAGTTAATATGTTAAGTTTATTAATCAACTACCTCTGCCAATGAAAGAAATATTCAAATCACACTTAGGAATTAAAACAAAAAATCATGATGCTTACAATGCTATATTTTAAGAGATGAAAATGTTATTTGAATTAATTGGGAATTTGTTTTGGAGTATTTTCTATGCATAGCCAAGGAAGTTTTAATGTTCTGAAAACTGAGATGATGAAAAGAAATCAATTAAAACCTGACTCATCCAATTAACAGCTCACCACTCTTTTTGGAAAATAACAATTACATGCTAAAAATGGGCTTTTAAAAAAAGATGAAATATTCTGCACAAGGGGAAAACATGTTTAGAGGAAATTCCGCAAAGAAATTACTTTTGAAATTATTCACAAAACTGCACAAAGCACAATATTCCCAACTGCTCAATAAATAATATTATCATGCTAAGAAATAAGATTTTTAAGAAAGTAATTCTTTAAAAACATAAATGTCACATACATTCACTATTTTCAGATGCTGACAGACCAGGAGTACTCTAGGTAAAGAGATTCTGGGTTTTCTCAGGGGGTTAGTGTTTCGAGATGTTTCAAGCCTGGTTCAAGCTCTTAGGAGGGACACATCTACATCTAAGCTCTGGCTCTGCTGTACACTTGATTCAACACGGCAATCCTCTCCCTGAGCCTTGTTCTAATCATATGTAAAGTACGGACAAATATTAGTACCTAACTCTGGAATTTGTTATCATTAAGTGTGGTAAGTCAAGTAAATAGCTTAGCACAGGGACTGGAGTGTAACAAACCATTATGGAAGTGTCAGTCAGCACTATCACCAAAGGTAATAGAAGTAACGTGTCATAAAGTTCTTCAAGTGGGGGACAGACATGAAAACAGCCCTTCATCCAGCAGGTCTCTGTCAGAAAGACTCAAGTACAACCTTGGGAATGCTCGAACTTGAATGCCTTCTAAAAACTTACCAAGTCACAGAACTCAAACACCAGGAGGTAGGGGATCGCTTCTACGCACTGTCCAACACACTGAAGAATATTTGGATGCTGAAGAATACTGGTAAAAATAAAAGCCATAAAGTCGTTCATCAGGAAACATGATAATATAATTATTCAAACAAAAGCATAATAAAATTATTCAAACAATAATCCAAGTTTTTTCATAATTGATATAATATTTAAATAAATGACAGGCTGAAAAGATCACAAAGATTATACTTAAAAGGTGTATACTAAGTTATCTAGTAAGTCATTCAAAGCCAATCAGGTGAGTATTTTCACAAATAAAAAAAGGAAATGTAAGAATCTTTTAAAATCTTTTTTTCAAGAGACAGGGTCTTGTTCTGTCACCCAGGCTGGAGTGCAGTGGTGCAATTATAGCTCACTGCTGCCTCCAACTCCTGGGCTCAAGTGATCCTCCCACCTAAACTGGCCAAATAGCTGGCATTATAGGCATGTGCCACCATGCCTGGCCTCAAAAATTTTTATCTTTAGTCACTTAAGTTTAGAGATAATATTTTTTTCTTTCTTTTTTTTTTTTTTTTTGCCAATTAAACATCTCAGGATAGAGATAATATTTTAAAGCAGCATTTAAAAGAGGATAGCCTACACAGTCATCCCTTAGTAACTGCAGGGGACTGGTTCCACGAATCCCTGAAGATGCCAAAATCCAAACCAAAGATAAGTTTCTTACATAAAATGGTGCCATATCTACACATAACCTATGCACATCTGCCGATATAAATTGTCTCTAGATTACTTGTAATACTAATACAATGCTAATGCTATGTAAAAAACTGTTATACTGCATTGTTTATATATTTTTTACTATTGCATTGTTACTTCTTCACATTTTAAAAAAATATTTTCTATCCACCATTGGTTGAATCCATGGATACAGAGGGCCAACTGTATATACAAATCTATAAGTATTTCAGCCAGGACAAAAAAGAGAGACCTGATCTGTACAAAAGAGAGAAAAACTAGTTGGGTGTGGGGACGCATGCCTGTGGTCCCAGCTCCTCAGGAGATTGAGTCAGGAGGATCGCGTGGGCCCAGCAGGTAGAGCTTGCAGTGAGCTATGACTACACCACTGCACTCCAGCCTGGGGGACAGAGTAAGATCCTGTCTCAAAACAATGATAACAATAAAACAAATTCAATATGTATTTCAATCCAGATATTAAATGACTCAGTTTCTCCTTCAGGCTATCTAGTTTATATATTCTTTTCCATAAATTTCCACTGTATATGCAAACTACTTTTAGAAAATATTTTGTCCAAATGAAAATAAAGTTAAATAAAAGGTATGCCAAAATAGTTTAAAAAAAAAAATCTATTATTTTGCTATAATTATGAATGTACAGGAAACTGCAAAGAGAGCCAAGAGGTCTGGTATACCCTTCACCCCGTTTCCCCTGTGGGTTCCATCTGACACAATGACATACAGTGTAACACCCAAACCTGGGAACTGCTGCTGCGATCAAGTGTGTGCAGAGCTCCATGCCATGTCTGCACATGCACAGATATGTGTAACCATCACCTCAATGGAGACCCAGAGCTATCCCATCACCACAAAGATCTCCACACCCCACCCCTGGCAACCACCAACCTGTTCCCCACTTCTAGAATGTTCTCATTCTCAGTCTAAGAATATTATATAAATGGATCAGTATAGTATGTGACCTTTTGAGATTGATTTTTTTCACTCAACATAACCCCTGAGGTCATCCAAGGCATTCCACGTGTCAATGGTTCATTCTGTTTTGCATGGGAGCAGTACTCCAGGAACACACCACTTTGCTAAACCACTCACCTCTTGATAGACACGTTAGTTTTTCCAGTTGTTGGCTATTACAAACAAAGCTGCTATGAACAATCATGCAAGGGTTTTTGTACAGAAGCAAGTTTTCACTGCTCTGGAATAAATGTCAAGGAGTGCAATTGCTGGGTTGTATGATGTGACAGTTAATTTTGTATGACACCTTAGCTGGAGCATAGTGCCCAAGTATTTGGTCAAATATTATCCTTATGTTTTTGTGAAGGCGTTTTTTGATGAAATTATTGTATCTATCTATCTATCTATCTATCTCCCTACCCACCTACCTACCTACCTACCGAGACAGGGTCTCACTTTGCCATCCAAGTACAGTGGTATGATCATGGCTCACTGCAGCCCCGAACACCTGGGCTCAAATGATCTTCCTGTCTCAGCCTCCTGAGAAGCTGAGACTACAGGTGTGTGGTGCCACTATGCCCAACTAGTTTTTTTTGTTGTTTTTTGAACAGACAGGGTCTCACCACATTGCCCAGGCTGGTCTTGGACTCCTGGGCTCAAGCAATCCTCCAGCCTCAACTTCCCAAAACGCTAGGGTAATAGGCATGGGCTACCATGCCTAGCAGATTACTATTTAAATCAGTGGACTTGGAGTAAAGCAGATCCTGCCACAATGTAGGTGGGCCTCATCTATCAGCTGAAGGCCCTACTAGAACAAAGACTGACCTCCCCCACAGAAGGAGGAATTTTGCCAGAAGACAGCCTTCAGCCTTGAACTACAACATCGACTCTTCCCTGGTCTCTAGCCTCCTAGTACACCCTGCAGCCTCTAGACTTTCCGGCCTTCATAACTTCATAAGCCAATTCCTTTAAAAACATCTTTTTCTATATATATACATGAACATACACATCCTATTGGTTCTGTTCCTCTGGAGAATGCTAATATATAACTAAAGCTAACATATAATTAAATGTATGTTTTGTTTTTTAAGAAACTGCCAAGCTATTTTCTACAGTGGCTCTATCATTTTACATTTCCACCAGCAATGTATGAGAGATGTAGTTTCTCAACATCCTTATCAGTACTTGGTGTTGTCACTATTTTTCCATTACAGCTCTTCTTTTTTATTTTGTTTTGGAGATGGAGTCTCGTTCTGTCACCCAGGCTGGAATACAGTGGTGCAATCTCAGCTCACTGCAACCTGCACCTCCTGGGTTCAAGCGATTCTCCTGCCCCAGCCTCCCAAGTGGCTGGGATGTCCAGCTAATTTCTGTATTTTTAGTAGAGTCAGGGTTTCACCGTGTTGGCCAGGCTGGTCTTGAACTCCTGACCTCATGATCCGCCTGCCTCAGCCTCCTAAAGTGCTGGGATTACAGAGGTGAGTCACTGCACCCGGCCTCATTACAGCTTTTCTAATAGGTATGAGGGGATCTTGATTCATTACTTTAGTGGCTTGTGTGACACTGAACATCTTTTCATGTGCTTATTTGCTATCCATGTTATCCCCTCTTTGGTGAAATGTCTCTTAATGTCTTCTGACAATCTGCGAATTAGGTTACTATTTTTTTCTAATCAATTTTGAGAGTTTCTTATAAATTCTAGATATGAGTCCTATGTCAGCTGTGTGGTTTCCATCTATTTCCTCCCAGTCTGTGGCTTGTCTTTTCACTCTGTTACCAAGGTCTTCCACAAAGCAAATGTTTTTCATTTTGATGATACAATTTATCAGTTTTTTTAAGGAAGTTTAGCCATATTTTTGTTCTTTTTGTTGTTCCTTCTTCTTTTCTAATGTTCCAAGACTCCTCCCTTTATCATTTCTTTTCCGTTTGGAAAACTCATTCTTTTAAAGTAGGTCTGCTGGTAATAAATTCTCAGTTTTCCTTCATCTGAGGATGTCTTGATATTCCCCCTTCATTCCTGAAGGGTATTTTCTCTGGAGAAAGAATTTCAGAGTTCTGATCTTTTAGAAAAGTGAAAAACGTGCTGATTCCTTGCGGCCTCCATGGTTGCTGATGAGAAATCGGCTGTCCTTCACATTGCTTCCCCCATAAGTAAAGTGCTATTTCGGTCTCCCTGCTGTTAGGATTTTTTGTCTTTCATTTTCAGAAGTTTGACTACATGTCTTGGCATGGATTTCCTTGGGTTTATCCTGTTTGGCATTTTCTCAGTTTCTTAAATCTGTAGGCTTTTTCCTTTCCAAATGTAGAAAATGTTAGCCACTATTGCTTTGAATCCTTTTTCAGCCCCATCCTCTACCTCCTTTCCTTCTGAGACATCTATGACATGAATAATGCTGGATCTTTTGTTCTAGTCCCCATGTCCCTGAGGCTCTAACTGAAATGACGAGTTCCTGTATTTTTCAGTCCTGAGGTTTCCATTTAGGTCTTCTATTTCTCTGCTGAGACTGTATTTTTTTGTTTTAAATGTGATGCAGCTGCTCACAAAGCATTTTTATGATGAGTGCTTTAAAATTCTCATTGGATAATTCTAACATCTCTGTCATCTGTGTTGGAATCTGTTGTCTTTTCTCGTTGAAGCTGAGTTCTCCTGGTTCTTCGAATGCCAAGTGATTTTCAGTTGACACCTGGACATTTTGGGTCTCAGGAGACCCTGGAACTTAATCATGTATGTTGCAGCCAGAAATCCCAAAGTGGTTTTAAACACCTGACTTTCAACAGACCACACACTAGCTTTACAGAACACATGCTAAGGTTTACTTACTAGTAAGGTTCTCCGTTTTTCAAAAAAATATCTTGTTCCTTTGGGCTGGCACTCGCTTTTAACTCCTTCACTATGACTCTTGCTACGCTAGTGCCCGTGTAAATCTCTCCCAGGAGAACCTAAAATCAAAGAACAGTTTTTTGTGTCATTTCCATTAAAATGATATATTTACCAGGAAATGGAATACACGTGAACAAGTTAAGCAATAAGCAGATGACCTTCTATTCTTTCACATACTAACGCACAAAAAGCTTGGAAAACTCAAATACTTTTCTTCAGTTATAGGACCATTTTAAACCATTCACCAGATATTTACAATATTCACTTATTTACATATATTTCTTTTCTATTTGTTTGAAAATGTATTTATATTTATTTGTATTTGATTTATTTTAAAATGTATTCTTTTTTTTTTTTTTTAAAGATGGGGTTTCACCATGATGGCCAGGCTGGTTTTGAACTCCTGATCTCAGGTGATCCACCCACCTTGGCCTCCCAAAGTGCTAGGATTACAGGCGTGAGCCACCACACCCAGCTAAAAATGTATTCTACTTCAGGGAAATTAACTATGACTTTACAGAAGTGCAATTTATAGGTTCAGTTCCAACATAATCAAATGTTACTCAAAAACATTTCCGCTAGGTTTTGTTACTTAGTCTGCTACACACATAAGCTACACATATGAGAAAGCCAATGTAAAATCAATTGTTGCTCTGAAACTTAAAAACTATCATACTCCATCCAATGATACCTGGCCTTGATCTCCTACCAAAACTCCACTCAACACATTCCACTGAAATCAACAGAAAACGAAATGAGAATGTGCTGCCTCACATAAGAACTAGCCATGCCCAGGTGCGCTGGCTCACACTTGTAATCCCAGCACTTTGGGAGGCCAAGTCGGGTGGTTCATGAGGTCAGGAGTTCAAGACCAACCTGGTTAACACAGTGAAACCCTGTCTCTACTAAAAATACAAAAATTAGCTGGGCATGGTGGCAGGTACCTGTAATCCCAGCTACTTGGGAGGCTGAGGCAGAAGAATTGCCTGAACCCAGGAGGTGGAGGTTGCAGTGAGCCGAGATTAAGCCACTGCACTCTAGTCTGGGCGACAGAGCAAGACTCCATCACAAAAACAAAGAAACAAACAACAACAAAAAAGAACTAATCACAAGGGAAATGCTAAATATAAAAGAGACAATGCCAAGGCATTCCAAAGTGCAATATTTAAGATGAAAATGCTAATAAAGGTTTTTATTTAACTCTAGAGAATGATCAAAACAGAGAATGATCAACACAAAAGATTTTCTTTTAAAATAGATTAATTTTAATGTTCTGAAAATAGAGTAAAAACCTGAACAGAACTCAATGTGTTTACCAGAAATATAAGGACAGAAAAATGGAGAAAAAGAAATTCTGATAATTAACTAAATCATTCTCTCTTTTTTTTCAGACAGAGTCTTGCTCTGTCACCCAGTCTGGAGCACAGTGGTGCAAATATGGCTCACTGCAGCCTTTAACTCCTGGGCCCGGGTGGTCCTACTGCCTCAGCCTCTCGTGTAGCTGGGACTACAGGCATGTGCCACCAGCCCAGCTCATTTTTTTTTAAGAGATGAGGTCGTGCTATGTTGCCCAGGCTGGTCTCAAACTTCTGGTCTCAAGTAATCCTCCCCACTTCAGCCTCCCAAAGCGCTGGAATTACAGGCGTGAGCCACCGCACTTGGCCTATTGCTTCTTTTTAGGGTAAAACTACTCAAGAGAGTTATCTAAATGCACTGTCTCCTCTTCCTCTCTTGAATCCATTCCAACCAAGGATGTGGCATCATCACCATTCCCCCTGAGCAGCTTCTTTCAAGGACACCGAGGAACTCACGCTGCTGAATCCTAATTCTCCCAGGCTTCATCTTACTCCACGTGTAAGCTGCAGCATACTAAAATTAATCTTCCTGGAGCTCTTCTTCACCTGACTTTCAGACGCCTCCCGTCTCCTGGGCTTCTCCATCCTCACTGCTTCTCCTTGCCTGCACTGGCGTCTTTCCTGCTGCAGAGCCTCCCCTGGTTTCCACTTTGAAATTCTCCATGACTTCACCTAGTCTCCTAGCTTTGAATTCGCTCTATAGAGTGAGATCGCTTGGATTTTCATCTCTAGTCTGGAACCTCTCTCCTCAACTCTTGCTCTGCATTTCCAGTTCAGCTACTTGGGGCCTCCATTGAGTTGTCCAACAGCCGACTCCCACCTGATATAGCAAAGGTGAACCCCCGACTTCCTCCTCCAAGCCTGCCTCTCCTGCAGTGTCTGTTGTATTTCAGTTGACAGCAACTCTGTTCTTCCAGTTAATCAGGCCCTAAGCAGTCAACCTGACTGCCTCTTCCTCCAGAGCCTATGTCTCATCCACCCTAAGTCTACACTGGCATGCTCTCATCCAAACATCTACCTTTAGTCCCACTACTTCTCGCCGCCTCCACCGCTACCCTCCAGGTCCAAGCTGCCTAGACCTCTCCCCAGATGCCTACAGGAGCCTTCTAGCCCATCTCCTCCCTGCTTTCACCTTCCCCCTCAATGACTTCCAGAGTGATCCTTTTAAAAAGGTAACTCAATTACATCATGATCTCTCAGTGTGTTTCCTCATTTCACTCTGAGCAGCGCAGTCTCTAGGTGCACACATATCCCATATCACCTACCTGCCCTATACTTCTCTGAGCCCACCTCCCACAACTGACTGCTGTGTGACCCTCCCAACTAGAAATCTAAGGCTTGTGAAGACGGGGTTTTGTTTGCTGTCTCATACAGGACTCCACACAGGTCAAGGTTTGACCCATCTTCCACCACATCATACCCCTAGCACCATTAACAATGGCTGGTATGTAATAGGGTTTGCTGAATGGTAAAGAAGAGAACTCATAGAGCTAGGAAGACATGAAAGCTACAGGCCTGACAGACAAGGCTGAAGGGAAGGAGCAGCAGAAGATGGCTGCTTACTGGGAAGTGCATCGTCCCGTAAGCACCCTGCTTCCAATGTAACCCCTACTCCATTAGGTACCACTTGCAGGGAACCACTGCAGCACTGTGAAAATGACTGCAGGAGATTACTCCTTCTGAGCCATCTATGGCAAAAAGACCAACAAAGCACTGTTACTACAGGCCACTTGACAGGGTATGAAAAGGACAGTTCTTCATGGTGGTCTTCACTGTAAGACTATATTTACAGTTCTAAAGTGGCTTAAGTGCTGTAAGAGGAAGGGATTTAAAAAACAATCTAACCTGAGGAGGATACAAAGCTGACGCTGCTAAGATTCCAGGTCTCTTTTCCCTTCTTTCTTAGTTACGGTCAAAATGTTTGTGTCCTGTGTCCTCCCCAAATCCGTAGGTTGAAACCTAATGACCACTGTGATGGGGAGGAGGAGGGCCTTTGGGAGGAAATGAAATTCGCATCCTTCCAAAAGAGTTTCCAGAGAGCTGCCCTGCCCCTTCAACCACATGAGGACAAAGCAGGAAGGTGCCACCTTCACCTGATGCTGACTCAGCCAGCACCTCGATCTTGGACTTCCCAGCCTCCAGGATTGTGAGAAATAAATTTCTGTTGTTTATAAGTCACCCAGTTTGTGATACTTTGTTATAACAGACTGAATGCACTGAGACAAGCTTCCTAGAAAAGGCTCCAAACACAGCAAGGCTGAAGCTCACGCCCCTGTGCTGCCAGAGGGGCGATGGGGAAACCCATTTCGTACCACAGGGCCCACAGGGCAGGTGGAATGCTGCACGACACAATTCTTCATCAGCTCTACACTGTACACAGTATCCTTCAGAGGGAAACAAATGAAACTGAACAAGATTTTACCTTTCCAAACCAGCCATTTCCAATTTCCTGTATGTAGTTCAGACTGTGGCGGGCAACTTGAGACTTCAATCCTTCTGTAGAGAAAAAAACATTAAAAATGAAATATAAGTATCTAACTAAAACAAAATAAAGATATAACCTATAAAGAATAAACACTAACATAAAGGCTGTGCAAGTAAAGGTAGGAATTAATACATAAAACATCTTTTTAAATGAACCATGCCAAAACAGTTTTAAGCTTTAAAACCAACAATGTTTTTTAATGAGTTTCTTACTAATTCTTTAATACCTCGAACTGTTTTTTTCTGATCCAACTACTCTAATGTAATTACCAATCACCACACCAATGGCTTTTACTTAGTCCTTATTTTCACCTCTCTGAACAGTTCACCTAGACATAAGATTATCCCTCTGAAACTATTCTTAATTTTTAAAAAAAGTTTTACTGAAGTCAATATACAATACAGTCCACATATTTAAAGTATACACTTCATATATTTTAGTATTTGTATGCACCTGTGAAACCATCACAAAAATAAAATGCAGGACATCTCCATTACCCACAAAAGTCTTCTCAAACCCCTTAGCAGCCCCTCCCACCTGCCCCCATCTCTACATAACAATTCACGTGCTTTCTGCACTACAATTTGCATTTTCTAAAATGTTATGTAACCAGAATCATACAGTATGTACTCTTTGTACATATCAATATCAATAAATATCAATTATTTTAAGATTCAATCAAGGTCTAGAGTGTAGAGTTCATTCTTTTTTTTTTTTTTTTTTTAAATTGCATTTTAGGTTTTGGGGTACATGTGAAGAACATGCAAGATTGTTGCACAGGTACACACATGGCAGCGTTTTTTTGTTTTTGTTTTTTTTTTTTTGAGACGGAGTTTCACTCATGGCAGCGTGATTTGCTGCCTTCCTTCCCTTCACCTATATCTGGCATTTCTCCCCATGCTATCTCTCCCCAACTCCCCACCCCCTGCTGTCCCTCCCTTATTTCCCCCCAACAGACCCCAGTGTGTGATGCTCCCCTCCCTGTGTCCATGTGTTCTCATTGTTCAACACCCGCCTATGAATGAGAACATGTGGTGTTTGATTTTCTGTTCTTGTGTCAGTTTGCTGAGAATGATGGTTTCCAGGTTCATCCATGTCCCTACAAAGGACACAAACTCATCGTTTTTGATGGCTGCATAATATTCCATGGTGTATATGTGCCACATTTTCCCTGTCCAGTCTATCATCGATGGGCATTTGGGTTGGTTCCAGGTCTTTGTTATTGTAAACAGTGCTGCAATGAACATTCGTGTGCATGTGTCCTTAAAGTAGAATGATTTATAATCCTTTGGATATACACCTGAGTTTATTCTTTTTTTTTTTTTTTGAGACGGAGTTTCGCTGTTGTTGCCCAGACTGGAGTTGCAATGGCACAATCTCGGCTCACCACAACCTCCGCCTCCTGGGTTCAAGCAATTCTCCTGCCTCAGCCTCCCGAGTAGCTGGGACTACAGGCACGCACCATCATGCCCAGCTAATTTTTGTATTTTTAGTAGAGACGAGGTTTCACCTTGTTGACCAGGATGGTCTCAATCTCTTGACCTCGTGATCCACCCGCCTCGGCCTCCCAAAGTGCTGGGATTATAGGCGTCAGCCACCGCGCCCGGCCTATTCTTATTTTTATCACAGAAGAATTTTCCACTGAATGAACATACCACAGTCTGTTTGTTCATTCATAAGTAGATGGACATTCATGTCATTTACAGGTTGAGGCTCTGACAAATCAAGGTGCTATAAATACATACATGCAAATCTTTGTAGGGACAAATGCCTTCATTTCTCTTGAATAAATGCCAAGGAGTGGAATGGTGAGATCATATGGGAGGTGTCTCTTTAGCTTTTAAAGAAGCTGCCAACTGCTTGCTAAAGCATGAGTAGTGCATGAGGTTCCAGTTGTTCTGTCTCTTTGCCATCACTTGCTGCAGTCAGTCTTTTCCATTTTAGCCGTTCTAAAGGGTATGCAATCTTACTTTAGTTTTCATTTTTATTTCCCTAATGACTAATGATGTCAAGTCCCTTTTCATTTGCTTATCTGCATCTGTATATCTTCTGAGTTGAAATATTTATGCAAATCTTTGCCTCATTTGTATTGGGCTGTTTCTTATTATTGAGTTTTGAAACTTCTATCTTCTGAAACCAAGTCCTTTAGCAAATAAATAATTTGCAAACGTTTTCTCCCAATCCATGGCTTGACTTTTCATTATCTTGTCAAAAGAACAATGTTTGGGAGAACAATGTCTTCCAAAACACTTTAAATTTAAATTTTTTATTTTAATTTCCAAAAAGCTTTAATTTTGATAAGGTCCAATGTGTAAGTATTTCCTTTTGTGAATGATGCTTTTGGTGTCCTTTCTAACAAATCTTTGTCTAACTAAAGATTATAAAGAGTTTCTTCTAAAAGTTTTATAACTTTAGGTTCTACATTTAGGTTTATGTGCACTCTGAGTTAATTTTTACATATGGTACAAGGTATCGATCAAAGTTCACTTGTCTGTCAGTGAATAGCCAATTGTTCTGGCACCATTTAACTGCACATCTATTGAATTAACTGACCAAAGAAAAGAGACAGCAGTGGAAAGGTGGAGCAGAGACATCTCCTCTGGTGGCTGTCTCTTCCAAGAAACACTAAGAGACTTTTTTTAAACTGCCAGTGTTAACCTTATAAAAACTTCAGAAGATGGTTAAAGGTATTCAGCAACTAAAGCAAACCAGGAGAAAGTCCATTGACACAGGGCAGAATATCTTTGTGGCTTTAACTTACCCTACTTCCCCAGTCTCCCTCCTCAGTGCAGCCACAGTCTTAAAGATGACTTGTGTTCCCAGGTGGGTACCAGGATCCATGGGGAGCACAGTGCGCCTTATTCCCAAGGAACTAAGTTAACCTTGACCTAACTGGGGTTCCCCTGAAGGACTGCCACAAGTGCTTCTCTGTTTCACATATCTCACAATTCTATGAGGATGGACTGGTCACATACTCCTCAAAAGCAACAAAAGGCAAATGAGAACAAGCTACTGCCATCTAGGGCAAAAACACAGTTGAGGCCAATAGTACACACGCGGAAAGCTTTGGCAGAAAAGCTGGGGAGTGAGGTTTTGGGGGAGAAGGGGCTTTGGAAAGCTTCTGTGTAGATGAGAACCCAGATAGCCATGTGCATGCTCAGGGCAGGATGTGTGCTCAGAAAGGCTGGGGAAGAACACAGGCTTTCAGCTGGGGCTGGTCTTCAGGCCCAACACAAGAAGGAAGTGAAGGCTAAGAAAGAGCTGTAAACAGCCTGGCTAGGTGTTTGTTGAAGGAGTGCCCTAGCAGAGCAAATCTGCAAAAACCTAGAGAATATTTTTTATATTTTCTTTCTTTTCTACTATTTCTCTTTTGCACATATTATTCAAAATGTCCAGTTTCCAACAAAAATTATGAAACATGGAAGGAAATAAAAACATGGCCCATTCACAGGTAAAAAAGAATGAACGGAAACTGTCAGTGAGAAAACGGACATTAGACTAATTATTAGACAAGATGTTATTTTTTTAAATTAATATTTTTTGTTTTCTTTTTTTTTTTTGAGGCAGAGTCTTGCCCTGTCACCCAGGCTGGAGTGCAGTGGTACTATCTTGGCTCACTGCAACCTTAGCCTGCCAGGCTCAAGCGATTCTCCTGCCTCAGCCTCCCAAGTAACTGGGACTACAGGCGAGTGCCATCATACCTGAATTACTGGTGTCTAGCTCCTTTTTTCATTTGCCACACAATTTAAAATATGAATGCATTAAAAAATTATAACTGTGTTAATAGGCACAAAATGTATAATGACGTAATTTGTGACAACAACATAAAGGGATGGGACTGAGCTGTATAGGAGCAGATTTTGTGTGCTGTTGAAGCTAAGCCGCTATCAATTCAAAAGTGTTATCAATTTGGGATGTTAATTGTAATCACTGTAATCACTAAGAAAACATCTAAAAATATAATCCAAAGAGAAAGAGAAGGGAATCAAAATGGCACATCAAAAAAAAATTCCTTGATTACAACCATTACAGATTATTTTGTTCCTTCTCTACTGCCACTGGTTCACTTGACTAGACTTAAACAACAACAACAACAACAAAAACCCTATCAGAATCCCAATGGCCTGTTTTACAGAAATAGGAAGGCTGATCCTTACACTTAGTTGGAATTGTAAGGAATCTCAAACAGGCAAAAAAAATTTGAAAAAAAAAAGACTCTCACACATCTTGGTTTCAAAACTTACTATAAAACAAAAGCTACAGTAAACAAAATGGTGTGGTACCTGCATAGGGATAGATATACAGATCAATGGGATACAGCCAAGAGTCCTAAATAAACCCAAACAAATATGGTAAACTGATTTTCAAAAAGGGTGGCAAGACAATCAACAGGAAAAGAACAGTCTCTGAAACACTGTTAATTGAGACAACTGGATATCCACATATAAAAGAATTAAGACGGATCCTAATCTCACACCATATAAAAGAATTAATTCAAAATGGATCGAAGAGCAAGAGCTAAAACTAAAAAACTCATAGAAGACAACATAGGAAGAAATCTTCATGACCAAGGATTTGGCAATAGTTTCTTTTTTTTTTTTTGAGACGGAGTTTCGCTCTTGTTACCCAGGCTGGAGTGCAATGGCACGATCTCGGCTCACCGCAACCTCCATCTCCTGGGTTCAGGCAATTCTCCTGCCTCAACTTCCTGAGTAGCTAGGATTACAGGCACGTGCCATCATGCCCAGCTAATTTTTTGTATTTTTAGTAGAGACGGGGTTTCACCATGTTGACCAGGATGGTCTCGATCTCTTGACCTCGTGATCCACCTGCCTCGGCCTCCCAAAGTGCTGGGATTACAGGCTTGAGCCACCGCGCCCGGCAATAGTTTCTTAAATATGACACCAAAAGCACAAGCAACAAAAGTAAAAAACAGATAAACTAGAATAGACTTCATCAAAATTAAAATGGAAAACTTTCATGCATGAAAGGACACTATCAAGGGAATGAAAGAGAACATACAGAATTTGAGAAAATATTTGCAGTTCATGTTATTATGACATTATTATGATTAAATGAGTGATACTGGGACAAATATACAAATTAATGACAGAGAATAGAAAGCCTAAAATAGACCCACACACATACAGAGGCAGAGAGAAAAGGAAGGATCAGTGAATGAATGAAGCTGAAAAACCACAGCAATCTATAAGGAAAGCTGAAGTTGGATTCCTCCTAACACCATCCTCAAAAATCAACTCAAGATGTGTTTTAGATCTAAATGTCAAAGCAAAAGCTTAAAATATTTTTAAAAGGTATTATTTTGATCACAGAATAAGAATTTCTAAAGACCACGAAAAGTCCTAACTCTAAAAAGGACTTAAATTTCAAACTCTAAAAAAAAAACTATAAAATTTACTATATTAAAATTAGGAACCCTGTTCATCAAAAAATCCTTTTTTGTATATGTGTGATTGATTTTTTTTTTCAGTGTACCATTTTGATTCTCTCTTCATTTCCTTTTCTGCAAAATTTTTAGTGGTTACCATGGGGATTATAGTTAACATCCTAAATTTATAACAATCTAGTTAGAATTGATTCCAATTTAGCTTCAAATGCAATGGCATTTACCATTAGATACCCAACTGGCAGGAATATAAATTAGTACAACTCCTGCAGAGGGTAAGCTGGCAAGACCCATCAAAATTATAAACACATGCATTCTTTGACCCACTTTAAAAAATGTATTCTACAGATACCAGTACAACAACCACCTGCAAAATACCACAGATACAAGCTTTATTTGTTTCTGCATAAGATTAGAAACAAGCCAAATATCCATCAACAGGGGGCTGTTGAAATAAACTGTGCTAAAGCCATAAAATTTACATAGTACGAACCTAGAAGCAAGAATACATTCACTTTAATGATATGGAAAGATCTCCAAGGTACATTGGTAAGTGAAAAAAAGCAAGATGCAGAATAATGAATTTACCATGACGCCTTTGAATAATTAAAAAAAGGGCTAGGGGACTATGCATGTGTGTGGGTGGGGGTGTAGACATGTCTACCTATCTTCCTCTAAATTTTGCTGTGAACCTCAAACTTCTCTACAAAGTCTTTAAAAAAACAAAAAAATTAAAAATTAAAGTAAATGTAAATGGGAATGAGGGGAGATACCAACATCAACAAATTCTAGAAAGATATATGAAAAAACAAGAGCCAAAAGTGCAGCTGTTACCTAGAGAAGGCAGCGGTGGAAAACAGATCAGATTCAAATGCCACAGGGAAACTTTGCAGTAGATATACTTTTTTAATGTTATGGTTTTTGAACCAAGTGAATATACTATCTATGCAAAAAATAAAATACATTTTAAAAATAGAAAAAAAGAAAAAACCTGGTAGAACTTGTAGACTTGCTTGTATGTGGCGTATCTTTTTCATGTAATATATCACAAATACCTTTCATAGTCAAATATAGTTCACCTTGATCCTTTTATAGGAACACATAAATCTCTATTTTATCGATTTACTATAATTTAGCAAAGCACATATTGACAGACATTTAATCTGTTTCCATCTCACCCTGCCAAACAACGCTGCAGTAAATTCCTTTGTACATGCATATTTGCACACTTACCCAATTAGTTCCTAAAGACAAATTACTAAAAGTGGAATTGCTGGATCAAGAGTAAACATGTCTCATATTTTGATACATGTTGCCAGACTGCCCCTCCAGAAAGAACATCTTCAGCGATTTATAGCTGCACTGATCGATTTATAGCTGCACTGATCGTAGTAGATGACAGTGCCAGTGACTCTCCACATGCTCACCAATCACTACCTGCTGTCATTTCTTCTCGTCTTTACTTATCTGCTATCAGCTTAAGTCTGCTTTCTTTAATTAATAACGAGGTTACGATGTTTACTGGCCATTTGAGTTTCTCCTTTCAGGTCCTCGGCTTATTTATTCTAGTAGCATGTTACTTTTTCCCACACATTTGTCTGTACTCTTGATATGTAACTGTTTTAATCCTGTTTGTAGTTTACAAGTATTTTTTGCGACTCTGTCAATTTGTGTGTGGTGTCTTTTTCTATACAGAATATTTCATTTTGTAAATCAGATTTGGCAATATGTTCCTTTATGGATTCTGGATTTGGTGCATGCTTGGAAAGGCCTCTCATATCCCAAGATAATAAAAATATTCTGAGTATTCTATGAAGAGAAATTTAAAATAATTTCTTCCTTTGAAGAGGAATATTAGGGTACAGGGCTTCAGTAAAACAGAAAGGGGTGTGTATATAAACAAAATTACAATGGCTGCCCAGGTCACCATGATTTCTCTCCTGCCCGCATCTGGCTGTGCTCCCATCCATCCCCCGTAGATCCCGAAGAGAAATTGTCAGTCTGTCCCCACCTTCCTGCCCAGTGATGGCTCTGCATCCTGTGACTCAGTTGAAGCCAACCAGAATGTCCCTCCAGAGGGTTTTCTTTCTGGTCCAAAGAAAGAGAGAAAGAAGCTCCTTTCCTCTGTGGCTATAAAACTACAAGGGGATGGGCGTGGAGCTACTGGCAGTCAACCTTCCTACTGAGCAGAGAAGCTGCCTGAGAGATTCAGCAGATACAAAAAGAGAAAAGAAAATCAGAAATGAATTAAAATGCTGATAGTGTTACAGGCCCTGGTTCTAGCTGTCTCCAAGGTCAGCTGAACCCCTGCTCTTCCTGTGGTCGGGGTCCACGTGTTAGAAAATTCCCTTTCCCACTTAGGCTGATCTGAATTAGAATTCTGTTACTTGAAATTAATCCACGGTTGATAGACTATGGGCCTGTAAAAGCTTGGAGAAGTCTCTCAAGGTTTTTCTTAAGTATAAAGGAAAGCAAATTACCAAACAGGCAAGGATAAAATATTTTGATTTAGAGTAGGCATACTTATCTCAAGAATATGTTAGACCTTATTTTAAACTTCATTATTTTGATTGAAGTAGGATATTGTTATTCACAGAAATTAAAGCTAAAAACTACAGGTGTTTTTGTTTTTTTTTTTTAGTGTTGGAAAATCTATCAATATTAAATATACCTTACTTTACCAATATTTAAATGGAATGCACCAGCTATGTCATGTTCCATCTGGCTCTTACTTGTAGTCATACCTGTCTGCAGTGGTATCATCAGTTCGGGCATTTATTCTGCCCTAAGCAGAACCCACAGTGTGTGTCACACCAGAAAAGGTGGTCCTAGAACCTACAGACTTACACAGTCTTCTTGTGGCAGTCTCAGAAAACCCTACTTCTTGAACCACTAGCTACATTCTATTTTTCAACAAGACATCAATTAACACAGAATCAAATCTCTATCTGAAGAAGCTTAGAAAAGTCAATCTGATTAACTTATCCAAACATTCCTCTCCTCCCCAAATGCAGGGCATCCCAGTGGAAGCCAGCAAAGTCCTACTCAGCAAGGTGAGCTGTGGCCAGAACTAGCAGAGAAACCAGCTCCAGAACAGAGCCCAGGAGTTCTGTCAAGGTGTTCAATGTCAGTGAATCAAGGAGATCCATTTTCTTTTCATACTAGACCCAGGGTCCAGAAAGGAGAAGACAAAGCCATTGCAGGAATATAATGGGCCTGACCACTAGAACTCAGCTTCACTGGGAGCAGACGGAAGAGAAACAAACCAAAGAGAAGATGGGCAGTGCCATTTTTACGATAGCAAGGCTCCCACTCTCACATCTCAGAAATAATTCACGAAAATATGGCATTAGGTTGTACAGTCTTACCTACAGAAGGCTGGAATTGTGAGGGAGCTGGTAGTGAAATATTTGGTACTGAAAGTGTGAAGACCTCTGCTGGGGACTGAACAGAGGGAGTATCTTCTGCTGGTGGTGTGAAATCTATCTCATCATCAAAATTATCTTCAAATTCCTAAAATGAAAGAGAGCAAGCATTCAAAACTACTGGCTACACTTACAATAGGAACATATTTATGCATTCATTTGAAACTTGCTGCCACAATTTTTTTTTCCTATTTGTACTTAATGTCAAGTAAAAAGCATATGTAATTGTGTTTTCTGACTCCAAACAGCAGAATACATAAGACAGGAAAATAAATTATACATATTTTATGTAATTTTTTAAACTGATAGTCTGAAGTTAAATGCAATGGAATTTACGTGAACATACTCTTTTAGGCTTAAAAAAAATTTTTTTTTTGAGACAAGGATTTGCTGTTGCCCAGGCTGGAGCACAGTGGCACAATCATGGCTCACTGCAGTCTGGACCTCTAGGGCCCAAGCAAGCCTCCTACCTCAGCCTCCTCAGTAGCTGGGACCATAGGCACACATCACCATGCCCAGTTAATTTTTTGATTTTTTTCTGTAGAAGTGGAGTCTCCCTATGTCGTCCAGGCTGGTCTCAAACTCCTGAGCTCAAACAATCCTCCCATCTCAGTCTCCCGAAGTGTTAGGATTACAGGTGTGAGCCACCGTGCCTGGCCAAGCAATTCTTTTAAAATTATTATTTACTTTCATGACATGATTCTTTGCATACTGAATCAAAAAAATCATTTTTAAGTTGTATATGCATTTCTAATTGAAATGTGATTTCTATCAAAATAAATGTTAAAAGGTTCAGAAAAGATATTTTTAAGTGGGTCCTATTTCTCTGAAAAGAGTGACAATGGAAACATTACTAAATTAGCTAGAAAAATCATCATGATCTGAATCACAAGGTCACTAAAAAACTGTGTGGCGCATAAGTGTAATTAACTTAAGCACGTCTGGCTTTCCAAAGATGACAACTTTACAATTGAGGATGTGGCAGGCGCAGTGGCTCACGCTGTAATACCAGCACTCTGGGAGGCTGAGGCAGGTGGATCATTTGAACCCAAGAGCTCTAGACCAGCCTTGGGCAACACGGCAAGTCCTTGTTTCTACAAATAATAATTTTTTTAAATTTGCCAGGTGTGGAGGCATGGAACTACTGGAGTAGTGCTAGCTACTTGGGAGGCTGAGGGGGAAAGATTGCTTGAGCCTAGGAAGTCAAGGCTGGATGACAGAGCAAGACCCTGTCTCAACAAACAACAACAAAAGAAAAGGATGCACCAATAAAGTTGTGGAAACCTTCTAAATGACGTTTGCCGGGAAGCTATCACAACTCTTCCTGTCACCATTCTGGGAACTGGTATACCTTGATGTCCAAGTTAATTTACCATAGACATGGCCAATTATCAAGTCATTCATCAAGTCATCTGTTCAGATAATTAACATGTTACCCCTCCAGGCACCATAACAGAAGCTGGGAACAGATCAGTGAACGAGACTGTTCTGCACTGAATAGTCTACAAACAACTTTCTTTTCGTTTTTCTTTTCTACCACCTCTCCTTAGCCCCCATCCAATACAAGAAAGAAACTAAGTTATAATGGTAGATTTCTCTAACACTAATGTTTCCACATGCATGTGAGAAGGCATTATTCTCATATATGTTCTCCAATGCATTAAAGGACATTATTGCTATTTGTATTGACAGAGCAGAGAGCAAGAAAAATGAGGTACTGTAACTTCAATCTGTGAGGGTATTTTTGAACAGAGGAAATTCTTCAATTTTCCTTTTGGATATTCCTAAATAGTGCTCTCTCTGTAAAATGATTTTGCCCATCACTCCTACCTTAAAATACTGCCATTCAAAATTTGGCAGCAGCATGACAAACCACTAGATATACCAACAGATGATTCTAAAGATTCAGACAGGTAATGTAGCATAAATATCAGAAAAATGGCCAGGCACAGTGGTTCACGCCTGCAATCCTAGCACTTTGGGAGGCAGAGGCGGGAAAAGAGCTCAGGAGTTCAAGACCAGCCTTGGCAACACGGTGAAATCCTGTCTCTACAAAAAATACAAAAATTAGCCTGGCACAATGGCATATGCCTACAGTAACCTTAGCTACTGGCAAGGCTAAGGTGGGAGGATTGCTTGAGCCTGGGAGGTTGAGGCTACAGTAAAGTGTGATCGTGCCACCGCACTCCAGCCTGGGTGACAGTGAGATACTCTGTCTGAAAAAGAAAAGAAGAAAAATGAGATAAGCCTGAGTCACTTTTAAAGTTATGCCGCTGGCTAGCTGGATAAATGTGGGCAAGCCACCTGTGTTACCAGACTGTAGCTTCCTGGTCTATAAAATGACTTCCACGGACTATCAGCTGTAAAACTGCACAGCTGTAAATCTAGAGAAAATCAGCAAACCACAGATGGAAATAATGCTTATGCAGTCACACAGACTCTAGAGCTGGACAGTCCTCTAACACACTGCGGCCCCTGCACCAGCATCGCCGAGGAAAGCTTGGTAACAATACAGATTTCCGGCTCTCACAATGAACTCCCGGCATTCAATCCTGAGATTCAAAAAGCTTCGCATGATCTACGGTAAGAATAAGGTATCATGAAATGTGAGACGGGGACTAGATTTCGGTATCAGCAACACTGATTAGGCTTTATCTTTGTCCTGAAATGGCCAGGTTTCTGTGCAAAGTCCCTCACCAAGACTCACAGGCAAGGGCCACAAACTATCTACCTACAATTGTGCCCCTATACTAGTGCAGTCAGCAGCTGCCCACAGCAGTGTCTGTAGGGGTTCTAAGGCCTAGGGACTGATGTTGTGAGTAAAACTCTACAGGTCTGGAGCAAAATCTTCTAAAGGGACTGATCTACATTAGTCTTTTCCGAACGCCCTCCTGCGTTCTCAGCCTTCTGTGTGTATATGGCCAGTGCTGACCCAAGAAAACAACACATCTCTGTCTCCTCAGGGCTACCAGAAGGCTCGGGATAAAGACAGCACATAAAAACAGCTATGAGGTTCTAAAGACCAGGGCCCCATGTCCAGGGAAAACAAGGCTTTATCCAGGAGACGCCCTTCTTTTTCCCCAGTTTGAACCACTGGCCCTCCAGACTCCTGAGCCAGCCCTGTGCAGTCAGCAGGGCTCGACACTAAGAACCATTTTCTCTGCACACTGTATTCCTTATAACAAGTATTTACAGAGCCCGAATGCACTCCAGCAGACATGCAGTAAGTTCCAGAGGCCTTCCCGGCTGGTTCACTGGTAGACTCTACTGTCTGCTGCTACAACCAGATCTTCTCTATTACCCTTCCTGGCCAGGACTTTACCATCCGCAGCCTTCTCCTCCCTTCTTCTTTCACAAAACACACTGGGGGATCCCTTTGCCTCAGTAATCTCAATGACCACAAATTTACCAGCCTATAGAAGTTTGGGGGCGGAGGGGAACAGCCAACCTGCTCTTCCTCATAGGCCTTATGGAAAGTGAATTTAATCATCACACTCCACTCCTCACTCAGCAAAAACCTAAACTTACCACGGGCAAGTGGTTACTGTCAATGATGGACGCACAGTGAACTACGGCTGGCGCACCAAATCCAGACCTCCTATTTGTGTAAAGAAAATCTTACTGGCACAAAGCCAAGACCATTTTTTAACAGTGTCTGTCCTGGCAGAGATGAGCTGCTGTTTTGGAAACTGTATGGCCAACAATATTTACTAAGGCAGAAAATATTTACTATTTAGCCATTAGGAGAAAAAAATCTGATCTCTGCTCCCAAAGGACTGTGATATCTAGTTATTGTATTGAAAAACATATCAGAAGACCATTTTAAATGTTCCTACCCTCTGTGCTCACCTTAAAGTCTATTTCTGGGTCCTTACAGCAGGATACACAGTTTGCAATTAACACTATTAATATTATTAAACTGCACACACACAGGATCACGAAAGATGAGGAAACTTCTGCAGCAGGTGGTGCCTCCCCTGAAAAGAGAGATAAATATTAAAAACATGTACATTCCAAAATAAACTTTAAGTAGTGAATCAATAAATTCTCCTCTACATACAAATGGGTGCGCAGGTTAATAAAATAATGCTTGAGATAAAGCTGATGATCCATCCAGGATAAGAAGTTGTTGTTTCCTTTGAAATAAGTTAGATTTACAGTGGAGTTAGAGAGACAAAAAAGAGAGTTCACACACACCCTTCACCCAGCTTCCACTAATGTTAACATCATACAGTACCATGGTACACTGATCAAAACTAGGATAGTAAAGCTGTTAACAATGAGATGAACTGGACTTCAGGCTTTACTCAGATTTTACTGTATTCTCACTGAAGTCCTTTTTCCTTTTCAGGATTCACTCCAAGCTACCCATGTTGCATTTAATCACCACGTGCCCCTCATCTTCTCCAGTCTGACAGTTTCTTGTCTTTCCTTGTGTTTCTTAACTTTGACACCTTTGAAGAGTGCTGGTCAGTTAGTTTGCAGAATGTCTCTCAATCTGGGTCACCCAATGTCTTCTCAGGATTAGACCAAGGTTGTGGTTGCCTGGAAAGGAGCTAGAGAATTCCAGGGGGGTGAATTGTCCTGCTTGCACAGCAGGGCACATGACCTACTCCTGGTAAGGTGACCTCTGATCCTGTGGGCCAGGTGGTTCCCACTAGGCGTCACCAAACCACTGCAGGCCCACCTTTCCCTTATCATACTCTATTCCTTGAGAGCAGTGCTGGCCCACAGGGAAGGGATGTAAGCTGGAGGGAGGAGTGCTACAGTCTGCAGACACAGCTTACAAACTCTCCAGTAATTAGTAATATGTGAGGAAGAAACTTTGAGGGCAATGCAACTGCCCTGTTTCTCCTTCAGGTTTTGGGCACCAGTTTTTGCATTTGTCAGTGCATCTTGCCTACAGCAATACATACTGTGATGTCTGGAAGGTGATTTTCTATTTCCCTTGTTTCTTCTACATTTGTTATTTAGAATTGGTAAGGAAGACTGGTCGCCTCTCCTCCCCTTATTTATTTTATTCAGTCATGTATACACTTTATTTATGGATATTTATTCTCTGGGTTGTAATCCAAAGTCATCATCATATATTTTATGGCTCAAATGGTTCTATCCTTGTCCACTGGGAGCTGTCAAGGTGACCCCTGGATCTTTTTGGTACACCCCATCCTTCCCTTTGTCTCCAATGTTTCCTTACTTCTGGGTACTACAGGAAGCTCCAGCCTCCTCATATTTTCCCTACTGTGCTTGGGGACCAGCCAGTACTCCAAGGACCAGCCAGTGCTCCAAGGAGCCCTGGTCATAATAAGCAGCGAAGGAGGTGGTCTGCAAACTACAGCCTGCGTGCGGCCCACTGTTGCGTGGGGGACCTCCCCCTACTCCCTGGAGAATAATGATTTCTGTATCTTTAAGAGGCTATTTAAAAAAAAAGAAAAAGGAAAAAAAAAAGAATATGCCAAGGATACTGCCTGTGAGCCACAAAGCCTAAAATATTTTACCGCCTGGCCTTTTCCCATCCCTATCTAGAGCATAAAGATTTTTACATCTTATTTTTAGCAAGTTCTTCATTATCCGGAAAACATCTTATTCAACTAGGGTAGTTGAGAACCTTTTCTTTGTTAGAGCAAACTGTTAAAGTCTCAGCTACTGGAGTTTTACTGAGAAATAAACTTTTCCTTAAAATCCTCATCTATGGCAGGCAGTGAGCATGCCTATAACCTCAGCATTCTGGGAGGCAAAAGTGGGATGATCGCTTGAGGAGTTAGAGACCAGCCTGGGCAACAAAGTGAAACTTCATCTCTACAAAAAATAAAAATTAAAATTAGCTGGGAGTGGTGGCACATGCCTGAAGTCCCAGCTACTCACGAGCCTGAGGTGGGAGGATGGCTTGATGCCAGGAGGAGGAGGCTGCAGTGAGCTGTGAGCACATCACTGCACTCCAGTCTGGGTGACACCGCAAGACTCTGTCTCAAAACACAAAAATAGATCCTCATCTATGGCTAACTAAGTGTTCAAATGCACCAAAAGGAAGGCAGAGAGATAAATTAACGAGGCTACTTTTTTCTTAAATGAAGCTAGGGTACTTGAAGAAAAGAAAAACTAACCCAAACTCCTAGGAGAGCAAAACACATTCTTGAATCTAAAACAAGCTTCAGTGAAGATCCGGGAAGTCTAAAATGAACTGCAAACAGAAATAAGTTCTTTTTCAATAACAAAAGGTCCCTTTGTGAAAGCAATGCTGAAACACCATTGTTACAACTGTGCTTAAGAATAATATAGTTAACCAAGGGGTGTCGTGAATCTCCAAGTTCTCAATCAACAAAGTCTAAAACAGAGGAAAGCCCATACATTTACCACATGAGGTAACTTGGTGCTTCCTCTCGAAATCAATCTGGAGGAAGTCAACTTTCACTGAGAAAAAGAATTCCCTAACTACAGACACAGTTGTGTCCATTTGGAAAGCCTAAACTAAGTGAGGAGCTAGAGCCACTGACAGCCAGTTCTTATGACTGAAGACCAAGAGAAATGATTTTCTTCTCTCCCTCCTTGCAATGAGCTGTCCACTCATCCAGACAGGTAAAGCCTGTGCTTCTTTCCTGGAATTTCTTCTTTTTTTTCTATTAAGAGATGGGGGTCTCACTATGTTTTCCAGGCTGGTCTTGAACTCCTGGGTCTCGAACTCCTTGCAATCCTGAGATTGCAAGCATAAGCCACCACACCAGACCACTGGGACTGATTCTGAAGAACTGTGCTTCACTGCCGATTCACATAATAAAAATCAAATTTGACTCCTGAGGATTATATAGCAAAGCACTTTCACATACATTTTTTTAAAATTGGTTTTTTAAGACACATCTGGATTGTAAGGGAGAATAAAGAGAAAAACTCACACGTAGTTTGTCCACTGCATCTCTGAATTTCAGGTGCATCTCACACTTCAAACCAAATTAGTTTTAACTGGCAGCATTTCTTCTTTTAAATGGTACAAAAATAAAGGTCTGACTTATCATCAACCTCATCTGACATTTGATAAAATACAGTATTATTTCATTTGGTCATCACAACACCTTTGAGGTAATATGACCAGCTCCACGTCACAGATGAAGACCCTGATATGCCCATGAACCCAGGTGGGACAGTGTCAGGCCAGCCTGAGTTTACGTGTGCGGGGTGCAAGCTCTCTCTCTTTCCTTGAAACCCCACTACTCTGCCTCAACGTGGTTAACTATTAACACTTAAAAACAGCCCACTGTCCTTTGAACCCAAGTCTGTCACTAATTAGGGTAGTTCATACTTCTTCAAACACTGCAAAGTTGATCTTGAATTCCTTTTTCCTCTCTTTCACCCAGAGTTTTTGTTGTTTCTTTAATCATCACAAACTACCCATTTATTATAAAACTGGATAAGGACTGTATGAAGGCCAGCCCAATTATATGATTCATGAAAGTGTCCTCTGTGAGTCACTAGATAGGCATGAAGAGTCATAACCAGGTTAAGAACAATGAACTATGCCAAGCTTTGCCCTAGCTTTTTGCTGTACTTACTTCTGCTAGGGGCTGCAGGGGCACCTACTCTCCCTTACTTAGATTTCCTCAATGTGAACCACGTCTATCCACCCTCAGCATCTAACTGTCCCATTAAAACTACTGCCTGAGAAATTTACTAGGTAGCTTCAAGTACTGTAGACATTTTTAGTTATCCCTTTTTAAAACCTTACTTACAGTATCTTTCTTTTGATGAATCCAAAAGCACTGTGCTTAAAGAAAACTCTATTTAGCAATGAAAAAAAAAGACTTCCATAAAATGAGGAAATCAAATATAGGCTGGAAGGTGAGATGAGTTTGCAAAAACCACAAAGGGGAAGTAAATTCTACACATGAGGAACCACAAATAAAATCCCCATACCGCTGTGGTCAAACTAGAAACCAGGCCCTGACATGGTTGCTGACTACAGCCATTAAAACCCAATGAAGAAAGGCAGTTTTAACACTGCAGCCTACAGCACTGAGAAGTGCAGAAATCAAGCTAGTCATCTACTAAAGAACATCAAGAACAGGTGTTGCCATACATTTAGGCAGCTTTTCCCAACACAAATTGAGAGCCAGCACAACTTGAGGTCTGGAGTACTACGTATGCTTCCCCCAAGACACTGATTAAAAAATACCCAGCATCTCTACAACACATTCTGTGAGTTTTCGTTTACTAGTTTTCAAAGCATTTTAATAGCTATCTAGACCTTGATTTAATAAGCAGAAAACTTGGGAAACTCTACAAGGTAGGTACATATTATCTGTTTTAGAAACAGGTAATTTAGAGAATGCAATTTCTCAGTAATGACTCAGAGTAAGCCAGGAATACCACCTATTAATTCAGCCATTATAACTCCAACCCAATTATCCGATTCATGATCTCTAGAACCTCAAATGAAACTGGACCCACATGTAATTAACTGAAGAGTTGTCTGTGAAACCATTTTTGGATTCAATAAAAAAAATTCAAAGGCCACAGATAAAAAGAAATGATGATCAATGTCTAGATCCGTTAGGGATTACAAAATGCTGGATATTCCAATGTTGTCAGTCCTTGTTCAGTCACTAGTGGATATACTTTTATAAATAGAAATTTCCTCACACTTACTATTCGGTTACCCAGTGGTTCAAGTCATAAGGAAAAGCCAGACTAGATACTTAAATCTTTCTCTTTACCAGTTTTTTAAAAACAAGTTAGTTCACTAGCACCCTCTGGCAGTGAGCGATTTGGAGAGCTGCTGTCACTGTTCTGTGATATCATTATGAGCTAATGGATTTAAAGCACCCATTGTGGTTGTTCTGATTGATACTCACATTGTCCTATCTTTGGCAAGCAGGGCCTCTAAAGGGGTTTGCTCCCAAGCCCTCCAACAGAGTCCCAGCAGGCCACGGTGGAATTCTTGTTTCCTGGGATGTTCCAGGCTCATCTTTTATAGTTTTGTTTGAGACCTCCTATCGATTATTTCCCCAAAGAGCCTTGGTTTCCTTTAAAGTGAACTGCCAATGTAAAGACCTCAATTTCAGGAAGTAGAGCTGCTTACTCACTGCCGGTGTTACAACTACCTTAGCAAACAATTTGTCACAGTTTTGGAACATTGAGCTTGGTACCCCTGTGGTCTAAGCATTTTCCCTCTTGGGGTAACAGCAATCAGGAAACTATGTCCAGTGGGTGAAATCCCACTCATAGTTTTTGTTTTTGTATGGCATGAAAGCTAAGAATTAAGAATCCACGTTTTCAAATCGTTTTGATATCCAAAATAATATTTTATGACACATCAAATTTACATCAATAACTGATAACACAGAAACAAAGACATCATGTGTCTCCTGACGGAAAAACACACCACCACCTATGAAACAGTACTGCCCAAAACAAGCAAACAAAAACAGAATATCAAACCAAGCATCTAGATCCAAATGTCAATGTGTAGAAAACACCTTGAATAGTGAAACATGTTAAATATCACTGCAAGAATGTCATCAGCAAAATACAGGCTATGAAAAACACTTGGGGAGTAAAAACCTAGGAAACTGAAAAAAGGAAAGAGATCAAGAGACCGAGGGTGGCAAACATTAGGAGACTTAGAAGATCTACCCACCAATTCCAACATATGGATGTTATTTGAATCATGATTCAACCTATTTTAAAACTTACGACATTTCAGGCTATCAGAAATCTGAACACTGAATAAATAACTGACCATATTAAGAAAATGCAATTCATTTCTCCTAGGAGTGATAATGGTCATGTGGTTGTTTTTAAATGTAGTCCTTATTTTTTGGAGATAGTGACCTACTTAATGATGTCTGCAATTTGCTTCCAAACAGCACGAAGCGTAGAGGAAGTGGATGGAGGCAGCATGAAGAAAGATGGGCCGCAGCTAATTCAGGCTGGGTGGAAGCTGTGTGGGAATTCATTACAGTATCTATGTCTTGCATGCTTGAAGCTTTCATTTATCACATAACTTTTCCCATGCATTAAATAGAAAGTTTAAATAAAAAAAACAGATACCATAATTTATAATCCATATTCTTGTCTACTCTTGATAAGGGCATTCATGTGCTAGGGCTGCCATAACCAAGCATCACAAACTGAATGACTCAAACGACCAATATTTATTCTGTTTTGGAAGCTACAAGTCCAAGATCAAGGTGTCAGCAGGACTGGTTCCTTCTGAGGGCTGTGGTGGCAGTATCTATTCTAAACCTCTCCTTGCTTCTGGTAGCTCGCTGCCTTTTCCCTAAGTCTCTTCCCATCATCTCCCCTCTACGTATGTCCGTGTCCAAATTCCCCCTTCTTATATATAAGGACAGCAGTCACTCTGGATTAGGACCCACCCTCATGACTGCATTTTCACTTGATCATCCACATACAAGACCCTCTCTCCAAATAGGGTCACATTCTGAGGCACTGGGGTTAGGGTTTCCACGCATGAATTTGGAGGGAACACAATCCAACCCATCTCTAGGATAGATGTTTAAATGAAAATAAGGAAAAACAAAGAAGAGCCAGAGACCAGTAGGTGCACCTGTCAACAGCAGTTGTCTGCAAGGATGGAAACGAAGTGGCGGGGGGACAACAGTCAGAGATGCTATATCCTTTCCTACTTGCTGAATTTTGTACCCCAGACTTCTCACCATCTTTAACCTAATGTCAAAACTCCTTAACAAGGCTTCAACATCCATCATTGCCTGGCTACTCCTGAGCTCTCCAGCCCCGACTCCCATCACTCCTCCCCAGCTCTCTACTACAAGCTACAACGACCCTCTCTCCATCCTTCCAGATGGATCTTCTGCCACTTCATTCTTGTATCTTCCCCTACCCAGAGACGCTACCATGACACCACCCCGCCCAACCCATTCATCCCTGCCCACCAGAGCTCAACTCGGAAACCATCCTTGAAGCCCATGGATGGAGTACCTGCCTGTGCTCCCCCAATTACCCTGCAACACCCCATGGAATCTGTCCATATTGTAAATACCCATATGCCTTCCCTACTAGGCTACATGATGAATGGTGTCACGGGCTGGGCTTGTATAATCCACCAATGACTCCCCAGAGCCTGGCCCAGCGCCTAGCATTCAGGTAGAAGTCGGGGATAAGGAAAAAGAGAAAAAAGTCAGAGAGAGAGAAATGAAGGGGCATGAGCAAGTCAGGGAAAATAAGCAAGCAAGGGAATACAGGAAAACTAACCATACAGGAAAAAAAAATACAGGAAAAAAAAAACACACAGAAAGAAACCATAACCAACCTACTGAATCACGGAATAAACTTATGGGCTAAGCACAGCAGCTCACACCTGTAATCCCAGTGCTTTGGGAGGCTGAGGTAGGAGGATCACTTGAGTGCAGAAGTTCAAGACCAGCCTGGGCAACATAGTAAGACGTCATCTCTACAAAAAATGTGGAAAATTAACCAGGCATGGTGGCACACACCTGTAGTGTGTACTTGGGAGGCTGAGGCAGGACATTCACCTAAGCCCAGGAGGTCAAGGCTGAAGTAAGCTACAATCATACCACTGCACTCCAGCCTGGGCAACAGAGTGAGACTCTATCTCCAAACAAACAAAACAAAACAAAAATGAATAAACTTATGGGCCATGTACGGCAACTCACACCTGTAATCCCAGTGCTTTAGGAGGCTGAGGCAGGTGAATTGCTTGAGCTCAGGAGTTCAAAACCAGCCTGGATCTCTACAAAAAAAAAATACAAAAAATTAGCTGGGCATGGTGGCATAAGCCTGTAGTCCCAGCTACTCAAGAGGCTGAGGTAGGAGGATGGCTTGAGCCTGGGACGTTGAGGATGCAGTGGTCCATGATCGTGCCATTGCACTACAGCTTGGGTGACAGCCTGCGTGACTGAATTAGACTCTCTCAAAAAAAAAAATAATAATAAACTTATGTTTTCAGGGTCAAACAAATAAGATTATAAGAGAAGCACTACTTCAATAACTTTACACTCTTACTTGGCACTGTTTTTCCACTATTAGCATACATTGTATTGGGGTGGTGAAACGCTTATTCCCCAGGTCTCTAAGAACTCCCACAAACGTACCCACTTTCCTTCAGCTGCGTAACTAAGGTATTTTATTAAAAAATACATTCTCTCAAAAAGTGGATTTCCTCCAATTTATGTTCTCTCTCAAAAATGGGTGTTTATCCACATGCACCACATTCCTGCATAGCCTCATCTCCCTGAAAGCCATCAGAGCATTCTACTCAGTGCTAGCAAAGCGAGACTCCAAAGGCACCCTCTTCCCCAGGGAGCCCTCAGAGGTGCAGGACTGAGAAGAAAGCCCCACACACAGGCAGAGCCACAGCCCTTGGACCTCTACACCAACATTTGTTTAGGAACAAAACAGGAATCTTAACTGGTGCCATCTAAGATGTGATTTAAATGTGTTTTAGTCTGAACACTGCGTGTGTTAGTTTGCTAGGGCTGGTAAAACAAAATAATACAGACTGGGGCTTAAACAACAGAACCTGACTTTCTCATAGTTCTAGGGTCTAGAAGTCCAAGACCAGGTGTTGGCAGGGCTGGTTTCTCCTGAGGCCTCTCTCCTTGGCTGCGGACAGCCATCTTCTCCCTGCCTTCTCAAAGGTCTTTCTTCTGTGTGCATCCCTGGTGTCTCTATGTGTATCTAAGTTTCCCCTTTTTAGAAGGACACCAGTCAGAATGGACTAGGGCACGCCCTTAGGGCTTCATCTTAACTTATTCACCTATTTAAAAGCCCTATCTCCAAATGCAGTCACAGTTTGAGGTACCTGGAGCTGTACAACTCAGCCCCTAGCACTGTGTCAATTTACTCATCTTTTCACCCTTTTAAGTTTTTATTTTTAAGGGTACAAATAGGTGTACATATTTATGGCGTATGTGTGACATTTTGATAGAGGGATATGAAGTGTAATAACCACATCAGGGTATTTGGGGTATCTGCCACCACAAACATTGATCATTTCTTTGTGTTAGGAACACTCCAATTCCACTCCTTTAGTTATCTTAACATATACAATAAATTGGTCAATGTATTAATTGAAGAAAGCCAGTACCCCTGGCAGGGGTCCATCCTTGACAGCATAGGCATGAGCATGAGGGCATCCTGCCTTCTCACTGGGAAAGCAAGTGTACAGCAAGGCTCAGGTCCTCACACATCTCGCCTGTTTTCTGTTTTGCCCAGACCCTCTCACCTCAGAAATTTGCATAACAGAATTCTGTGCCCACTTAAAAGTTAACAATGGGGCCGGGCGCGGTGGCTCAAGCCTGTAATCCCAGCACTGTGGGAGGCCGAGGCGGGTGGATCACGAGGTCAAGAGATCGAGACCATCTTGGTCAACATGGTGAAACCCTGTCTCTACTAAAAATACAAAAAATTAGCTGGGCATGGTGGCGCATGCCTGTAATCCCAGCTACTCAGGAGGCTGAGGCAGGAGAATTGCCTGAACCCGGGAGGCGGAGGTTGCGGTGAGCCGAGATCGTGCCATTGCACTCCAGCCTGGGTAACAAGAGCGAAACTCCGTCTCAAAAAACAAACAAACAAACAAAAAGTTAACAATGGTGGCTACTTAGACAAAGAAAACTCATAGAACTGAGGGAAGCTCAGGGTCCCAACCTTCTAAATGGTTCACATAAAGCCCATCTCTAAGACACATCATTTGGGCCTTTTTCTCTTAATATGTTAGGACCTCTACGTCTGCCTTCCTCTTTCAACACACTGACAGTTCTAGTTAGCACTGCAGCCCAGAGACAATAAAATGAATCATCATTACACTACTTGGGGAAAAAATGTGAACAATAAATTATTGCAGATCACACATTTTTATTTAACACCTGAAACTTATGAACCCATCTATCATCAAGGTTTCCTGTACACAGAATTTTAAGTCACAAAATGTTTTCCTTGTCATAATATAACAATACATCTATTTATAAGAACATTAAATAACCTAGAATCTCCCTAAGGTATTCTAATATTGGAAAGGAAAGGGGAAATGAAGCATGGCACTAAATATACTCAACTACACAGAACAGAAAATAATGCACTGATGATCCAGTTGATGAATCAGAGATTCCACAAAGACCCCTAAGCCTGAATATCAATCAACAGCCTAGAAAAACAGATCTCACTGTGTGCTCATCACAGACAGGGAAGTGTTCCTCTTGCTCAAAAGTGATTTTCAAGGTCAGCCAGCCCAACTGCTCTCTCACACTTGCAGAAAGGTTATATAATTTGAGTGCTAATTAAATACCTGTGAATGAGATCATTTTATACGAAGCTGCTGGTTTCTCTCGGTCTATTCCACTAAAATTTGTTATCGAAGAGTCATTTCATTCCTGTTTTAAAACACTAACTAGGATGGAGACTACCACAGAAAAGCTCATCTAAGGCAGCACAGTGTGGCCAAAAGAAAGTTGGGCTTGAACGACTTCTGCGGGACCACTGGGCCCCCACACCCCAAGAAATAATGGGCTGGATGTCCGTGAACTGGAGTCTCAGTTAAGCTGTTGGCATAGCTAAGTTGTGGAGTCATCCACAGCGCTTCCACGTTTGTAACAGCTTTGAACGGTGGTTCCACAGTCCAGGAAGCCAATGCAAGAACAGGAAGCATCTAGTCCTGGAAGGAGAGACACACAGCCAGGTTCCCAGGGCTGCATCCCCACAACTATCCCTTCAATGGACCACCAACGTCTAGGGGAACGATATTCTGCTTTGCCACACAACTTCCCATGGAAATCTACAGAGATGTGCAGCCAGCCACTGGCAGTACTAGATTCGCAACCCTTAGCCAATCCTACTTCTGTACAACACAGCCCAAAGGATGGAGAGGCACCCTAAATGTCCACTCCTTACTTCCCATGGAGGTCAGGTCTTAAATAGCCTAGAAAAACATGTCTGCTTTTTATTTAAAATCTCCAACAATCCCTTGATGGAGTCTGTGTTCTCAGAGCCCTTCTAGCTTCCTAAAGCCTAAGTTCTTGCGAATATAACTGAAATGCGATCTTAGGCAACATATCCTTCAAAGTTCTCGCGTAGAGAGAAAGTACATGGTGGTGGTGTTGCAGCGGGACTGGCCGCAAGAGACAGCTGGGCATGGGTTTGGGGGGACAGAATTCATTACACTCTTCTCTCTACTTCTGTGTATGTTCAAAATTCTCTACAATGAAGTTTTAATTTTTAAGTACTATCTTCAAAACTAAGTGAGAAACTGCTTACAACTGTGACCTTGAGAAGGTTCTATAGCACAAAGGCCAGATCATTGAGGGTTTCCTGTTGATAATGCTGCAACTGGATGTCTTTACATCATACAGAAAAATAAGCCCAAAGACAATTCAGTATGTAATTAGGTGCTTCCAGACACTCAGGTATCCAGCCCAAGATAAAAGACCTCCAGATAGTTAAGAGGGTTAGGGGACAGCGGAGTCACCTACTGAAATGGCTGTATAGTCACCCTACTGTGAAGCCCACCAGTTAGAAAGCCACATCTAACACATTCATTCATTCAACAAACATTTACTAAGCATCTTTGATAATACAGGTGCTGCCATAGGTTCTGAGAATACAGAGGTGGAAAAAAAAAAGCAAAGCCCGTGCACACAGGGCAGGCAATAAGCAACTAAGTAAATACATGATACCTCAGATGGCGAGAAGCAATAGCGAAAAATAAAACAAGCGACTGGGGAGGCTGTTGTTTTACAAGGAATGACCAGGGAACACATTTCTGCTATTACAACTAACTCATGCAACAAATGATAGTGATTTAGTCCCAGGAGGGTTATAAAAATAGTCAATATTTACATAGTGCCTACAATGTTCCAGGCAGTTTCCTAAACTCTTCCAATTCCATAACAGCTCTTTGAGGTAGGTAGTATCATTAGTCCCATTTTAAGTTACTTTATTTTTTTTTTTTTTTTCAGAGACAGTCTTGCTCTATTGCCCAGGCTGGAGTCAGTGGTATAATGGTAGCTCACTGCAGCTTTGAACTCCTGGGCTCAAGCAATCTTCCCACCTCACCCTCCCAAGTAATTGGGACTACAGGTGTGCACCACAAGGCCCAGATAATTTTTTCATATTTTGTAAAGACAGGGTCTCACTATATTGCCCAGGCTGGTCTCCACCTCTTGGCCTCAAATGATCCTCTCACCTTGGCCTCCCAAAGTGCTGAAATGACAGGCAAGGGCCACCGCCCTTGGCTAATTTTTTAAAATTACTTTGTAGGATGGACTCTATGTTACCCGGGCTTGTCTCAAACCCCTGGCCTCAAGTGATTCTCCCCGCCCTGTCCTCCCAAAGTGCTGGGA